TTTTTGCCAACGCAGTTTAGATGGAAAAGATGCAAAAAAAAAAAAGGGAAGAGATGCTTTTAATAAACTGCAGCATTGGTGCGATTTTGAGGCCAGCTATTCAGGCTGAAGTATAGAAGAAAAACTGACAAAAGGTTGCTGGGTTGAATGGTGTACAGGACCGAGAGCAAGTGAACATAATGAGCAACCTATTGGGGGAAAAAAAAGGGTAAATGGCAATTAAAGCTTCAGGTGGCCTGTTAGTTGTAGCCAAATCCCTTAAAACTGAATGACGCAGATTTAGCTGTGTCAAATCCTGTCAGTCTGTGAAACATTTTACGTTGATTGCTCCACTTTTTTGGTTCTTGAAAAAATACTTGACTTAAATACTTGGATATCATGAAAATGAAAACTCATTTTGAAGATTTTAACAATAGTTGATCAGAGTTGCATGAAGTTTGTTGTTTTTTTTTTTGTTTTTTTTTTACCAGGATTTTGTTTTAATGTGAGCTACCACTAGCCGGTGGCAGTAATGCACATATACTAAAGTAAATTGTTTGCCAACCTCCAGTTAAACAACACGAATGGATGTACCATGCAGTACTTCCTGGTATAGATTCCATATGGATATAATTTCCACATCTGAAAAGTAAATCCAGTGTGGAATAACTTTAGACTTTATTTAATAATAATAATGGATTGCATTTATATAGCGCTTTTCGAGACCCTCAAAACGCTTTTCAATTCCACTATTCATTCACTCTCACATTCACACACTGGTGGAAGCAGCTACAGTTGTAGCCACAGCTGCCCTGGGGCAGACTGACAGAAGCGAGGCTGCCATATTGCACCATCGGCCCCTCTGGCCAACACCAGTAGGTGGTAGGTAAAGTGCCCAAGGACACAATGACCAAGACAGACAGAGCAGGAGATCGAACCGCCAACCTTCCGGTTACAAGATGAGCTTCCCAACCCCCTGAACAATGGTTGCCCTGCATTTTTATGAGTTTAAGGCCTCATTGACTAATTCCAAGTCTTACTGAATACAACATGATGGTTTTTCTTTTTTTTTTGTAATAGTCTTGTTAGAATCAACGAGGAGGTTAAAGTGTAAGAAACAATAAGCTCATGTTCTCTGGTCCTACTACAGTGTGCATACAGTGAGCAGTTTAACCTGTAAAATGTTTTATTTTATTTTAAACTGATCGTGGCCTGTCTTCCTGTTATAGCTGCTAAAATCACCTTGTGGAAACTGTCAGTGGTATCGCTTGTTAGGACACATATTCTACTTACTATACGTTTGTTATAAACTTCACAGTTTATTCATTTTTGTTTTGTTTGTTGTTGTTGTTGTTTTTCTTAAATCCTTTCAATTTTGGTTCAAAATTAATGGAAATACAAACTGAAATCTGTTGCTCAGTCTAACCAGTTGATAGAAGCTAATACACGCTTTATAGCTGGTTAGAATTAAGTTGAAATATAAAGGTAAAAAAAATAGGGTGGGGTCAATTATGGTTCAGTAAAAATGGATTTTGACATAGTCTTGGACTAAATCAGAATCAGAAAGGGTTTTATTGCCAAATGTTGACCGGGTTTACAACATTAGGAAATTGCTGCGGTGCTTCAGTGCAAACATACTGTTATAAATTAAGCTTAAATAGACATGAAAATAAAAATGAGAATAAGAAATAAAAGTGCTAAGTAGATAGATATATACATGAGTGCAGGTGGTGATCAGTGCCAAACATGGAATGATGCAGTGAACACAGCGTAGGGTCATGTGTTAGTGGTGGGAACAGTTATACGGTTATTGTTCATGTGTCCAACAGCAGAGGGGAAGAAACTGTTCTTATGGCGAGAGGTTCTGGTGCAAATGGACCGGAGCCTCCTGCCTGAGGGGAGCAGGTCAAACAGACTGTGTCCAGGGTGAGAAGGGTCAGCTGAGAGCCGAGCTGCACGCCCCAGTGTCCTGGGGGTGTACAGGTCCTGCAGAGATGGGAGTCTGCAGCCAATCACCTTCTCAGCAGAGCGCACAACACGCTGCAGTCTCTGTTTGTCCCTGATAGTGGCTCCAGCGTACCACACGGTGATGGAGGAGGTGAGGATGGACTCGATGATTGCAGTGTAGAATTGCATCATCGTCCGTGTTGGCAGGTTGAATTTCTTCAGCTGCCTCAGGAAGTACATCCTCTGCTGGGTTTTCTTTATGACAGAGATGATGGTGGGCTCCCACTTCAGGTCCTGGGTGATGGTGGTACCCAGGAAGTGGAATGAGTCCACAGAGGTGATGGGGGTGTCAGTCAGGATGATGGGGGGGAGTGGGGCTGTGTGCTTCCTGAAGTCCACAATAATCTCCACTGTCTTCTGGGCGTTCAGCACCAGGTTGTTGTGGCTGCACCAGGACACCAGACGTTCAACCTCCCTCCTGTAGGCAGACTCATCCCCGTCCGAGATGAGTCCAATAACGGTGGTGTCATCTGCAAACTTGATTAGCTTGACAGACTGGTGGGTGGAGGTGCAGCAGTTAGTATACAGGGAGAAGAGCAGGGGAGAAAGAACACAGCCCTGAGGGGAGCCGGTGCTGATGGTCCGGGAGTCCGAGACATTCTTTCCCAGCCTCACATGCTGCTTCCTGTCCGTCAGGAAGTCAGTGATCCACCGGCAGATGGGATCAGGCACATTCATCTGGGAAAGCTTGCCTTGGAGATGGTCTGGAAGGATGGTATTAAAGGCAGAACTGAAGTCCACAAACAGGATCCTGGCGTAGGTTCCTGGGGAGTCCAGATGCTGCAGGATGAAGTGTAGGGCCATGTTGATGGCGTCATCTACAGACCTGTTGGCTCTGTATGCAAACTGCAGGGGGTCCAGGAGGGGGGCCGTGAGGGTCTTGAGAAAGGAGAGAACCAGGCGCTCAAAAGACTTCATGACCACAGATGTCAGAGCCACGGGTCTGTAGTCATTTAGTCCAGTGATCCTAGGTTTCTTGGGGACAGGGATTATGTTCTGAATAGTGCAACCAGTGTTTGAGAATTTTGCTTTCAACTTAAGCAAAATTGGTGGATTGCTTTGCAGCTAGTGTCATGTCATCACGTCATCTTGGCAAGCACAGTTAAACAGTATGTTTGAGTTAATCACCGATGATAATGAAGGAATGATGAATGGTGGAAAGCAACTCCAATATTATGCTTAATCTGTGGAAGGAGGGGAAAACACATGTTTGGAAGAAAAAATGGAGTGGAGGAAGGATGGTAATGAGAAGGAAGGAGAATGATGACGGTTAAGCAGTGGTGTAAGAAAAAAGAAAAGCAGGTGCTGGAAAATAACTCCCTTTATACCATGGTCCAGGTGAATACTTGATTTTTGCTGCAGGGTGTCTTTTGACAACAGGGACACAAATGATTACAATTTCTTACAGCGCAACACAATGCTAACATCAGATTAGTTACAAAAATGAGAGACTTTGAACTGATCCTCAGAAATCGTTAGCTGTCCACAGCTACTTTATGCTGAATGGGGAAAATCTCTCCTGTAGTTCATTAAATCCTTGCAGCCATCTGACGCAGCAGTACGGATATATTGATAAACCTGCTGCCTGTGATTCAAGATGCTACACTGAAACCCATGTCTACTATGCCAGGCCAACAACGCTGTGTTTCTTGCTTCAGTCACAAGAAGTGCCATTGATTGCTTTGAAATAAACATGTTTCTGTACACTTCAAATAGATATTTTTACCCATGTATGCTGAAGATAGTGATAGATATACTTGAATTTTATTGAAGTTTTTTTAGAGGCGCTCATACTCGCTGATGATAAACTGATGAGGTACATTTTATTAGCAGCAGCTGATTGCTTCTTACCCTCTTAATTCCTGTGGTTATTCCTATAGTTTTTCACATGACTGTATGATCATGCTGAGCCCAACTCTGTACTAAATAAATGTCAGGCCAAAATATTTCTCCCCTCTTTATTTCCTGCTACTTACCTTCATGCCTTCTGCTGCTTCTCTTTCTTTATTCTTGTCTTACCTTCTTTCTTGCCTTTTCTCGATTTCTTCCCTTCCATGCTTCCTTCCAAAGCTGGTACAGCTTGCTGGGTAAATATTTGTGGGGGATACAGGGTGCTGGAAGGCCTAAGCTGGGAGGATCAGCAGAGGAGAGGCTGCAGTTGTTGTGGATTAGCTGCTTGTTTTGTTATAATACCACTGTCTGCTTGCCTGGGTTTTGGTACTCACCAGGCAAGCTGCGAAATCAGAAATCACGATTTCTTGAAAAATGTATGAGTAATGCAGCTCATCACTGCTAGGCTTTAGTTCCGCTTAAAGAGGCTGGAATCACAAAAAATAGGTCCTGTATGTGAAGGTAATGCTATCTAATGGAAGTCAGACTCCTAAGTTTGAACTTGGAAGGAAAATCTGGGAAGTTATAAAGATGAGGTTTGAGGGGGAAAAAAAGGGTCCTAAATCATTGATGGACAAATGACGATCAGAAATGTTATTATTCAGTCAGATATGGGCACAGTCTGAAGTGAGAACCAATTTAATATGACTTAGGAACAGAGCGGCTATTTTAATGAAATAGCAAAGCTTAAATTTGGGAAAATTGTGATACATAGTTGTTTGTTGTGTCTATGCTCGCAGTGCAGCAAAAAATCAGATATGCTGCTTATAATATAGTTGAGCCTGTTGGCTTAGCTTAGCACAAACACTTGCTTTTATCTTCATGCTAAGCTTTCGAGTCCTTCATATTGCTTAATAGTGTTTCTTTTAAAGTCAAACATATACTTTCTAAATAATACATTATACATCTCTTTCTGCATTTGCCAGATCTTAGTTATCAGAGGGCACAGTTACAGAAAGGTATCTTGAACGGTCCCAGGGATGTATATATCAGCACTTTATAAGCCCTACTTACAATACTACAGTCACAAAGGCACACAAATACACACATTAACGCTGCAAAATCACACGTTTTACTAATGCTGTTTTTTTCCCTGTTGTTGTTTTTGGTGTGCGTGTCTTTAGAATTTGGAAAGGTATCAACAAAGCAAAGAACAGTTCCACCAAGCTGCCTCCAAGACGGAAGAAAATGTCAGGTGAGACGCACAAGCACTCGCACACCCGCACATCTTATACAGTTACCCTAACCGCGACCTGATTTAAACCCTCGCGCTAAGGCCGAGGCTCATTCTCTGCTCTCTGGTGTCGGAAAATGAAGACCTGTTAAAATGCACACAGACACACGTTTATCTGGAGTCCAAAAATGAGGAGATATGATTCCTGGAGCCTCACACACCCACCCATCCCCACACTCATACACACTGTGACTCACACTTATCCATGCACACAGTTGAGTAATTAATGGCAATAGATTGTAATATTTTTTTCTTATTGTTTAACCAGTTGCATTCTTACCCTAGAGCAAACTGAAAATGTGATAAATGTTTTAATTGGCTGCTTTGATTAAGCTGCATCTAACAATACCTTATTTCCTCATCTTCACTTCTCATAGTGGACTTTTAATGAACCGCAGCTGGGAAAAGGTAGTTAATTGTTGCTGCTGAAATCAGTTTTTCTTTTTTCACTTTTTTAAGGGGGGGGTCATCTCAGGTTCCATTTGCATTAGAAGCCAGAAGTGAGTTTGCTGTTAAAGGCCGAATGCTCTCAGTACAGCTAACTGGTAGTTCAAAGTTCAGATTCACTGAACAGCAATTTTTATTAACAAAGCAGGAAAAAACAAAGAAATTCAGGGAGCGACTGTGACAAACACAGGACCAGAAAGAAACTGGGCCCAGTCGGTCTGATGGCCACAGAACATGGGAACTAAATGAGGACGTTGAGCACCGTGAAGCAGGACAGCCATTGGTCAACTCACTGACAGAAGATGCTTTAACAAAACTCAAAAACTGAACATCTTGGGTGTACAAACATATTCTGCAGTGCTCAGTTCAGACCCAGGATATTAGTCCACTTGGGAACTATATTAGGAAACTTCCTGCCCTGTTCAGCCATCTGAAAACAGCATTATTACCTATATAATAATTAAAAAATTTAAAAAAAAAAGGACAATTGTTTGTTATACATGCCTGTCAGAATAGTTCACAAATCTCTCTTTAAAAAAAACAAAAAACAAATCCAAACATCCTTTCCCTTAGAAATAAAAGAATTGGCTGTATCCTACCTGTGTAATCTTTTATTCCTGCTCCAAGCATTATTTAACAAGCTTGCTTGGAGGGGTTTTGTCTAAATCTTGTTGAACTTATTGTTCACCGTGTTATTTTAGATTATGGGGGGTTATCTGCTGTTAGTTCCAAAATCTTTTAACCTTGGCTTTACATATGTGTTGAGTGGAGGTGAGTAAACACAACAGGAAGGCTTTGCACAAGCTCGATTTGTATTTTGGAAGCTATCAACTTGAACTAGCTATCAACTGCAGGAGCTCATGTACACTGACGGTGGGTTATTTTTTTTCTGTCAGAACAGGTGCTTTATCTACCTGATGTGTGTGTGGTTGTACCCAAAAAGGGACAAATACTGTATTCAGACCACATAAATTATCTGTAACAATGAGGAAAATGTATTTATTCACTTTATCTTGACTAAACAGTATTGTTTAAAAGCACCCAAAGAAACTAACAGGCAACAGTTGTGTAATGTTTATGAAAATCTTACCCTAACACAAAATTGAAAATTTGTACTAGTGTACTGCTTTATACCCATCGATAGTCTGATTTAACTGACATAGGAAGACTGTGCAGAAATCCTCCAACAGTGGAATTGAGAGAAACGTCTTTTATATTTTATATTAAACTTCAGGCAGACCTTAGTTTTTAAAACTATCCGAGGGAAGTTTCTGAGTGCTGAGCAGTAGAACAAAGCTACTGTAAAATAAGATGTGGGTGACTCGTAAACCGCCCAAGCTCCACTGTCCGTGTTATTCTGTGCTTTGTATAAGCACGTGTTTATGCCTGCTGGTATGTGTGGGATGTGTTTAATCCACAGTTTAATCCTTGGCTTTGGCTGGCAGCACTCTGGGGCTTGAGGAAGCCAAAGAGCACAGGGCCAATGTGTCACCATGCTGTGCGCGCGTCTCTGTGTGTGTGTGTGTGTGTGTGTGTGTGTGAGAAAGGAAAAAGAAGATGAAGAGAGTAAGAAATTCTGCAACCTGTAGCACTCTAAAATGTCAAACTCAATGGAGCATAATAGAGCAGCCTCAGTAACTTTCCTATCATTCCTTGCCTTTCATTGCTTTGCCTTCTTTGTCCAACTCTTCAGGCCTGCCAATTACAAATTACTTTTCCCCTTTATTTTCTAGAAGTTCACTGCATTCCAGATTACTTAACCAGATTCAGACATTTTTATGTAATGAGAAAGATTTTTCAAGCATAGTTCACATTTTGATTATAGCATACCATTTCATCTACTAGTACTTATCACAGGTACCTACAGTTCAAGTAGCCAGCAATTGTTAAGTACTGTAAATCAGAAAAACATACAACACTTGCAAGTCTGTACATACGTATTTTAACCAGGTTATTTCCACTTTTCATTCCACTATTGTTTCATGACAGTCCAGACAAATTGGAATTCCCGCAGAAATCAGGGGTTGACACGGAGATACATGGTGTGTATAAAGAGATGGATCCAGACAACAGAGACTGATGGAGAAAAAAGCCTACTTCTGTGAGCGCACTGGTGTTTCACAGAGACGTGGCTACAGGAATTACCCCAGATTGCATTGTTATCATTGACATCTGTCAGACAGTTCAGTGTACATGGTACACCAGGGAGGGGCAAAGAAAGAGGCAGAAGGTCTGCAGCCTTTATTAATAACACATTGCGGTACCTTGGGCAGATTCCTGTGAAGGACTGTTTGTTTAGCCCAGATGTTTAAGTTTATCTGCCCGCGCCTAACACACAAAGAGAACTATCATGTACTGTCTTGCTGTTGTCTGTCCTTCCACTAACCAGGCAACCACATATGTCATGTTGATACAAATTACTATATATATGGTTCGTACATTTGATGAAAGACCTCTATTATGCTTTTACTGTTAGAAGTTTTGTCCAAATACAGTTTCAGTAGTTGGTGAAATGGGCTGTGATGTTGATATCTGTAGTAGGACGTAGGCTTGTGTGGTAGTTTATCAGTCAAATTGTCACAAAATAAGCAAATGTTATAAAAATAAGCTGTTAATTATTGCCAAACCCGTCCCCGAGGCCCCCAGCCTCCCACTTTCCCCCTTTTCATGTTCCTACGTGTTGGTTAACAGTGTTGCACAATTTTTGCAGTTTGCTTTGAAGAGCCATCAGTTTCACAAGCCTAAAACTGAAGTGCTGGCAGGTTATTTACTCTCCTAGAGTGGGATTACAGACAGTAAGAGCTAAGGTAGGGTCTTGTTAGAAGAGTCAGTCAATGGCTCTCAATCTAAAACAGATTTCTGCAGTAGTTCAGAGCAGCTCAGTTTTATGAATAGTGCACCACATGTGGCCTCTCTGTTTTCCAGCTGCCACAAAAAAATATATAAATGTTTAAATAAATGATGTCTCATATCGATGTCCTGTGGCTGTAGATGTTTCATAAACAACATTGTTGTTCTGAAACAAAGAGATTGATGTAGTTTCTGATATTCACTTAGCAAATATAAAACTCTTCTTCTAAATTGACAGGTTTTTCACACGTTGGCAGTAGAATTGGAGTGAAAGAGGCATTGTGATGACAACGGCCTCCTCTTCAGAGTAGTCGAATGGGAGTGAAATGGAGACAGGCAAGATATACTGTATACTCACATCAGATCACTCGGGTCAATAATCCAAGGTGTTTTAACAAGGCCAGCTGTCTGTTACAGTGGCAGTCCAACTAGTCTTAATAGCCACCCTTTGTCAGATTCTTCCAACATGTGTCAGAACGTACCAGTCAACAGAGATCACTCAGTCATAAAGCCGACGAGTTGAGTCCAGATAGATAAGCAACCTAGTTTGAAGTTGTTGCTGTGCTGTAAGAGAAAAGCCAATCAAATACAAGTCTGGATTGCAAACAGATTTATAGCAACCTGAATTTGAATAGAAATGCTGTCAAATAAAGTTATGAAGATTAGGTGTAAGATTGGGTGTACAAATCGGCTCCGCATCAGCTACAGATGGATCCGCACCCTACATATAAGCTTTTTGTATATTCTTGTTTTCTCTATCTTAGATACCTTAAACAACCTTTAGGCAGCTGCCTGCTGCAGACTGTATTTGTGATCAGCAAATTATTGGTTAGTTTCGACATTAGTTAGGGTGCAGCTGAAATGGAGCTGCAATGGAAAATCATATCACCTGTTACTTTCAGTATTTCCCGATAGCAGAATCTTTTTTGCTGCAGTCTGAATTTTAACAGATTTGTCCTTCACACAGATCCACAGTTTTCTACCGCCTGTGATCGAAAAACTAAATTCACTACTATGTCCCACAACAAGCAGGCAATGACTGTACACCCAGCTATAATCTTTGTTTCTTTGGATATTTGTGCAGTTCACTCTGGTATAGCAGACTGGGTTCACATTCGTGCATGAATGGATTTGAGAAGTTGCCGTTTCCAGTGAAGAATGAGAAATGATGTTGTTCAGTAGATTGTTTATTTATTTTTTGCCCTGTTTCCTTTGGAGTATAATGTTTAACAAAACAACAAAATAGTATTAAAATGAGATGTTTATTAGTTTAAGTACAACTTAAAATTGGTGATTAAAAAAATAGGATGACAGTTTACAAAAACAAGAACAGGCATAAACGAATTATTACACAATATATGGTTTTTATTTTAAAACTAGAAGATAGCTGGGCCCGAGTGGGAGCATTCATCTTTATTTCTATTATGCACGTTTTCCAGATGGACACAGACGGATTCTTTACAGTATACATTTTTATGGAAATCTTTTGCATTACAGTCATCAGAGCCACTGTGGAAGGCTAAGTGAAATGATGTGTGCAGCATTGTTAAAGGACTGACAAAAGTGAGAGGGAGTCCTTTGTCTCTCGCAAACACGGAAGTTAAAGTGAAGTCTGAGCACTACTATATAGTGGACCCGCTCTTCTGGGTTACGGTTGTGATGGA